CCCCGCACCGCCGAGCTCGACCGGCAGAGGGTTAGCCCGCGCTGGTCGGGCGATTCCATTCCAGGGCGGGGGGGAGCATATCTTTGCTCCCTTCCATTCTGTATTGGAGGGGTGGAGTTTGGGGGTTAATTTCAACACTGGGACTGTAGGTGCCAGCGCCGACTCGGGGCGCATCCATTCGGCATCTGGCCGTGGGGGGAGCCGGTCTGGATCGCTCCATTCTGCAGCCGGGGCGGGGTGTGTTTAAGAGCACTCCATTCTTCAGCTGGTGGGGGATGGGGAGGGCTCTGGACCACATCATAAGAGCAGCCAGACTGGGTCAGACCAAGGGTCCATCCAGCCCAGGGTCCTGTCTGCCCAGTGGCCAGTGCCAGGTGCCCCAGAGGGAGGGAACACAACAGGGAATCCTCACGTGATCCCTCCCCTGTCACCCACCTCCAGACCAACCAGGGCCAGGGACACCATTCCTGCCAATCCTGGCTACTAGCCATTGATGGACCCAACCTCCATGACTCTATCTAGCTCTTTCTTGAACCCTGTTAAAGTCCTGGTCTTCACAACTTCCTCTGGCGAGGAGTTCCACAGGTTGATTGTGCCCTTGCATGAAGAAGTACTTCCTTTTGTTTGTTTTAAAGCTGCTGCCTATTCATTTCATTTGGTGACCCCCTAGTTCTTATATTGTGGGAACAAGTAAATAACTTTTCCATATTCACTTTTTCCACACCAGTCATGATTTTAGAGACCTCTATCATATCCCCCCTTAGTCTCCTCTTTTCTAAGCTGAAAAGTCCCAGTCTTTTCAATCTCTCTTCGTATGGGAATCGTTCCAAACCCCTAACCATTTTTGTTGCCCTTTTCTGAATCCAATGCCAATATAGCTTTTTTGAGATGAAGCGACCACATCTGTATGCAGTATTCAAGATGTGGGCGTACCATGGATTTATCTAGACGCAATGAGATGTTCTCTGTCTTATTCTCTGTCCCTTTTTTAATGATTCCTAACATTCTGTTTGCTTTTTTGACGGCTGCTGCACATTGAGTGGATGTTTTCAAAGAACTATCCACAATGACTCCAGGATTCTCTCATAAGAACATAAGAACGGCCGTACTGGGTCAGACCAAAGGTCCAACTAGCCCAGTAGTCAGTCTGCCGACAGTGGCCAGCACCAGGTGCCCCAGAGGGGGTGGACCAAAGACAATGACTCTAGGGGGACTCTAGGCCAGTCCTGAAGGCAGGCCCACCAACAGGGGCCTGAGGAAGGGCAAAAGGGGCAACTGTTCCAGGCCCAGGGCTTCTGGGGGCTGCTGCTGAGCCTTGGGCAGTCCTGAAGGGCTGGTGGAAGGAGGCTAACCTCCCGCCCCCCCTTCCTATCAGTGCCCCGCCCCTTCCAGGAGCACAGAGCCCTCCCCCCTTTGCCTAGGGGCCTGTCAATTCTGTCAGCCCCCTACTTAGGGTTGCCAGGTATTTGCACAGTGGCCAGGTGTCCGGTTTTCTACCGCACAGTCCGCTATTTGCACCATCTGTCCGATAGAAAAATTCAGAAAATACCGGACACGTGCAACGTCCGGTATTTTCTGAATTCCCGGCTGGGCGCCGGACGGAAGCCTGGTGGGGGCGGGGGAGGGACTGGGAGGCAGAGCGCGATTGGTGCTAGGAGCTTGTGGTCACGTGCAAAAGGC